GGTCGTGGAAAATATGTTGTTAGTGAAGCAATTGTACCTTCAAAAGTTGTCACAGAGGTACTGAAAACTACTGTAGCAGCATTAGTTGATGTTAACATAAGCAAAAACTTGATGGGATCGGCAATTGCTGGTAGTATTGGAGGAAATAATGCTCATGCTGCCAATGTTGTTACAGCTGTATATATTGCTACAGGACAAGTAAATAAACAACCATTTTTATCAATATAATATAATATTTTAGCCATAGATTTATTTATTTTTGTCAATCATATAGGATCCAGCGCAAAATGTAGCAAGTAGCAATTGCATGACACTGATGGAAGCATTTGGTGATGACCTTTATGTATCATGTACAATGCCTTCCGTTGAAATTGGTACAGTTGGCGGAGGAACCTCATTACCTGGTCAATCTGCATGTCTGGAAATGCTTGGCGTACGAGGTGCAAACTCTCAAACCCCTGGGGCCAATGCCAAACGGCTAGCACGTATACTGTGTGCAACAGTTTTGGCTGGTGAACTGTCACTGATGTCAGCTTTAACTGCTGGTCATTTAGTAAAAAGTCACATGATTCACAATCGGTAACAATTTACTTTTATTTGATTGATTATTTAATGATACATTTTTAAATTATTCACATTTTAAAAACAATTTTATATAAAATATGTACAAAAACAAGACAATCAGTAGCACTGAACCTATACATAAACTGAAGCGATTGCTTCATGTGTTAAAATAATGTAATTTATGTTAAAATCCTTAGTTGTGGGTTTTAATATTTTGATTTTGGTTCACTTAAATTTATATAACTCAGTGCCACTGAAAACAATACTATATAATTACAATTTTATAAATTGAATTATGTTCCCATGGGTATTGTACAACAATTTTGAACTACAATTTATGAATTAAAATCAATTCATATTTTATTTTATTACAGATCCACTCCTTCCATTCAGAATTTAGAATCAGAACCATGTGAATCAACCAGACAAAATAAACACTGTGTGTCTTGAGTGATGTGAAATTAATTTATTTTATTTCATACTTAATTAATACTTAATTCTATTTTATTAGAATCTATATTGTATATAAACAAATGGCATATTATTATAAAGTGAATATTTTCTGTGAAAACAATGTTTTTATTCCTCATGTTGTTTCAACACTACTAAAAAACCAAAATAATTTGAGCTGGTAATTAACCAATATTAATGTAGGTATATCAAAAAATGAAATGGACATTATGAAGTTTAAATGAATTTAGTAAACCACACACTATGCAGTGTGTGCATGTTAGAATTGCGTATTTGGCGTTTGCACAAATCTAATATGTCCTAAAACAGTTAAAACATTTCAATATAATAAAATTAGTGTTCATGATATGTTCATTTATGAAATTAAAAAAGTGTGCAAGTAATTATCGCTCTTCTGTATGTTAGGTGTCAAGTGGGTCACTTTGATGAATATGCTAATTTGAATTCAATGGTAGGTATATCATTGTATATAGAAAACATTACTGAGCAGAAACAGTTTGTCAGCCAATAATATCTTAAGTATACTTCATATTGTTTTTTTGATATTGCTATAATATATATATATATGTATGTATGTATGTATATAATATCTAAAATTATGAAAATGGAAATCTATGTCATGCATGTTCTCTGTAACTTCTTATCCGATAATCTTGATTTCTTTTGAAAAAGTACATCGCGGAGCCTATTTTTGATTTTGTAAGTTAATGAAAAATCAAGTTATTCATTTTTTTTTTTAATAATCGGTAAATGCGCACACAAAGATATATTTTTTTTTTTTATCTGTGTTACCAATTATTATAAATTAATGTTATAGTACATTGTTAAAATACCAAAAAAATTATCCACACACGTTACGCTAAATATTAGCATTAAGCAACCACATTAATACGGATGTATTTTGTACGGGCAACAAACCGGGCAGGGGATAGCCTTGGATCATTAATACATAATCTAAGGGATAGCTGGTCTCAGTGGTCTCTTATAATTTATAAATATTAAGTTTTATTACATTCAAACATAGGATTAAACGTTATACAAAGTACAAACACTGGTATGATGACAACTCATCTGTAATATCTTTTCGATCCAGTTTTGATCAATAACTATTAGACAGCCATGTTGTTACCAATAATAATCTTTTGTAACCAATGGCAACCCTAAAAATATTAAAATAATCGTTTTTCATGAGCCTGCAACAGATGTCAGCGTGGACTCCTCTCTTTTCAAAATTCTCTCTTAATGCACTCATACATCATAAAACTTAACTATTGACCAAAGTTCATAGTTCATACTTATTACTTCAGTGATTTCGGCAAGGTGATAAAGAATCAGTAAGTCAAGACATGTTATTATACCCATATATTATAATCATATAAATAGTTTATATTATTATAAAAGAAATTGAAATCTACTAATTATGTAGTAATGACTATTGTAATTTTATCGTTGTTGATCGTTAAATAAGTTGCTAATTAGGTGTTATAAGCTCAACCAATAAGATATAAAACTATAAGACTTATACCTAAATGCATATGATTAATAACGTAGATAATATATTAATATGTATTGCAATTCGCAATATAATTTTCTGTATTTACACATCTGTAGACTGTAGTACACTTTCTGTATAGTTTTTTACAAACAGCGTTATGCTTCTACGGGTACAATGATGCTAAAAGTGAAAATGTAATATTTTTAAAAAACAACAATTTCCATTCAAATCAAAAATATTAAATGATGTGTCATTGTTTGGGAATGGTTAAAAATAAGAACATGTTATTAAATGCTAAAAGATTTATAATAGGTTTATAATTTTTTCAAGATTTCGATCATTTTTTTTAAATTGAATTAAAAGTTCAACGGATAAATAACCAATTCATTTTAATGCTAAATGTATAGATTTTACAGTAATGTACTTGAATGTTTTTTCTCTTTATCATTACCGTTTAGGGTACCTAGTAAAAATGCTCCGATTTTCATTATTGAGAGTGGTTTCTAGTAGCAAATTTAATCCAATTTATACAATTGATACTCTAAGGTCAAACACAATAAAATAGTAGACTTTTAAAAATAATCAGTAAAAACAAAATAAAATTATACGTCACAGTTAATTTTGTTTTTTATTTTAATTTAAAAATAAAAAACTTTATACTTGCAATTTTCACCAAACGTTTTTATATTGTTATTTTCTATGCATGATAAAATATAAATATTTAGACTTTTTCAAGTTGTTTAGAGACATTTAGAGTAATAAAATTGAAATATGTCGATAAAAAAAATCATTTTCTAGGCCAAAATCTTTGAAAATTTAATACAAAATCCTACAGAAATTATTCTTATCTACCTACAAATATTAAAAATATATAGACACGACTTATATTTTATATGCATTTGAAAATAAAATTTTGACAAAACTGGTCAAAATCACATTAATTGTGATAAAATTTTGTAATAAAAACACAAACACTTTTTTTTTATACATTCGATTTGAAGTTCGAATTTGGATAAAATCACAAATTTAAACAATGTTAATTATTTTGTTACAATTCAATAACATTATTATTTATACGCAAGAACTTAGAATTATTATATATTTTATGAATTAGGTATACTACCGTAATACTAATGTCTAATAATACAATAAATAACGTATTTTAATAGCAATTTCAATTAATAGATATATCATGATACTTAAATAATATCTGATATAGATTGATTGACTGATTCCACTCAGAATCGTTCTTTGAGTACAATGATCGTCAATCGATCATTAAATTCAAATTTAATACATTCATTACAGTAATCCACTTGATACCATCAGTAAAATGAAGTGGTACCCACTTGTTCAACTTTTTTATTAAAAATAAATATGCTTCATAAGAATACAAAAAAAAAAATTACAACTATTTAAAACTGTATAAATTAAGTGAAGTGATCTATCTGTGAGGTTATCACTCGATACTATATAGTGCAATTGTTTAAAAAAATATAATATTTTACAAACCAATAAATTCTATTTTGCAAATTTTACATATTTTTACCAGACTTTCAACTTTAAATAGTGGTTTTGAAAAATATAATTACAAATTGGTTTTTAGGATTTGTAAATAAGTTATTAAATATTTAATTTATTGCAGAACATTTAAAATGTTTTACTCCAAAAGAAAAAAAATGTATGGATTTGTAAATTCTAAAAACTAGCATTTATGATTTATAAATTATTGCAATTTTTTTACAAATATAATTATTAAAGTTTAATCAGAAATTTTATGGACATAAACCTATATTAACATTTTTTTTTTTAATTAACTGTGATGTTATGCTTACTTAGTATACAATTTGAATTCTGTAAATTTTCTAAAATATTCTTTAAGGTATGTTTTAGAAGTGAATAAAATAAATATCTAGGTATTATATAGAATGCCAAGAAATTAAACAAGTATTTTATATCCATAACTTGCTGACAACATAAACATCCCAATTTTGTGATTTACGAGTATAATTGAAAAGAAACTGTGACACATAAAGTCTAATGAAATATCCTTACTTCACCATCATCAACTTTACAATACTAAATTTGACCAGACTAATAGGAATATATATTTTTATTTTTGAAAAAGTTACAAAGCTAATGAATTATTGTAAATCAATTTTATTATAATACAATACATATAAGAATACATTAACCACAAGTTTTAAATACTTATATCATGATAAAAATACAATTACAATAATAATGTTGATGAGCTTAGCCAACTTAGGTCAGATTTGTACAAATTACAATTTAAAAAATAAAATAAAAAAAAGAACAATAATAAAAATTGTAAAAATGTTTAAAACATTAGATTATACATTTTATGGATACAAAACCATTTTTTGATAAATTTCATAATAATGTAATTCAATTGACATTAAAAAGCAAACAAGATTTTAAAATTCATCAATAATATTTATATAATATTAACAATATTAATGTTCTAGAAAACTTTAATAAAGTAATGTATTTTTGAAATAAACTTAATTTAAAAAGTTCTACGAGCTTCAATTATTCGTTCATAATATTCTTGAGGTAAGCCAATTTTCTTTAGATATTCATCACTAGATTCAAACATTTGATCTTTGAAATAATGAACCATTGCTTCCCAACATATGACTTTCAATTTGGGTATTATGATCCATGCACTAGCAATGTCATTTGAACGGCCACCTCTAATATCTACATCATCATCAGACACTATACCACCATAACAACACATACGACCAGAAGGAGTTACAGCAGTTGAATGGAAGTATACAGGCCGAGGCATAATACACTTGGTGAGTTTTTCCCACTGTAAGGTGTCGAAATCAAAACGCCAAACATCTTTGAAGGACTGGAAGCCATCAAACCCACCACATATATATACCAAATTAGAATTCTCAGGACACTGAACACAGCTATGGCAGCTTCGGTTATTTGGATAACCAGGTTTTGGCACCCTATGGTCGTGTTTGGCCGGAAGAAATTGCCACTGTCTAGTAGCCAAATCAAACATATGGATTTTCTGGTAAAAATAATAATAGATTATAAAATACAAGAATTTAAAACATTTAATTATTATCAGTATTAAGATACAAATTGAGCTATCATGTTGTATGCATAAGTAATACCATAGATTGCAATAGACTGGCAGGCGCAGTAAGCATTTCAAAGATAGTTATAACTGAGGTTTGGAATTTATAGGAGCTAAAAATGACAAAATATACATGAAAAAAATTGCAAAATTTGTATGAAAAATCATGTTAAATATACAAAAATGTATTTAAAATTTCAAAAAACAAAATCCTACATTAATAATAATATGCACAAAAACAAATGTAAAATATGGAAAAATAAATTTATGATACTTAAAATATGGCAGAAAATGTATTAGTTTGATATCTAAGTGAACTAAATAAATAGCTAATGTCAATTACATACAATAACTTAACTAATGAATAAACAAGAAACAAATTTGTGGTAATCAATTATTTGATAATTTACCTACAATAAAATAATATTTTCTCATATTATAAATGTAATAGAAATTAAATGCATATTACACCATTGTCATTAAATTAATAGTCAACTACAACGATGATAATAAATATCATCGTTAAATAATATTGAGTTTTGTATTCAATATTATTTAAAATACATAGGTTAAAAAAAAAAAATCAATTGCTTAGAAAATATTGTATATTATGCATGACATGGAAATCAACGAAACAGCACTTTTCCCCTAGTATTGATAAAATATGCAAAATATGCATTTTCAATTTTTCAATTTTTAACTTTATCTTATCTGCCATAAATTAAGGGTAAATAAAACAATATTTATCACTTATAACTCCAAACTCTAGTTATAACTTATAAAGACTATACACTAAATAATATATTTTATTGACTTATTTAATATACAAAATAGATTAATAGATGAATAGTTAAGTCAGGTTAAGCTATACATTGATTACAAAATTGCATCATTAATATTTGATACTATTGAGGTATTCTTAAAACATTTTAAGTAGTATTACCAAATACCTATTAATTTAAATTTAAGTTAAACAAAATAGTTATTATCATAATTAACTAACAGTTCATTAAAATTACTAATTATAAACTTCATAGCTTACATAATATTAAACAAGTAATAAATATATAATGAAATATGTGCTATAACGTGTACAGGTATGTCTTTCCTACTGACTGTGATGTACATATTATGAGATAAATGAGTACTATTACTTTAAATAAATTGAAAATTAATTATTTTATTTCTTTAAAATAAATCCACTACATAGATGAGTTATAATATACAAAATGCACTCATCAAAAGATTAAAGTTCATAAAATAATGTGATTAAATAAAAACTAAATCTGTTGAAAATACCATATTTAAAAAAATAAATAAAATACTTTACACTAACCGAAAAGCCATAATAAATATTTCTGGCACCACCTCTTCCTCCACCAAATATGTATATTCTACCCTTGTAGAATATCACTTCATGTCGATATCTAGGTTCAGGTTCTTGACCTTCCCCGAGTGACTTATGTAATAACTCCCATTTTTTTGTACTCAGGTCAAATCGATGAACATCCATCTCATACTCGTAACCAGATGTGCCACCAATTGAATAAATATATTTACCATCCATTACAACACCTTGTCCATATAATGGTAATGGAACATCTCCAGATACTTCTAACTCTTCAAAACTCATTCCATTTTCTTTATACTCATTGGCTAAATTTCCTGAAATCATTAATATTGAATAATAATTTGATTGTGTATATCATTAATTTAAGTTGTGTAAAATCTTACCTAAGTACATGCGATTGCTACAAAATGCTCCAAATGGAACTCCAGTACCTCCATATATAATGATTATGTTACCAGATAGTGTGACTGAACTAGATGCTAATTCTTGAGGAACATTCTGACACTTGATTATTTTCCATTCACCTAAATCAAAACAATACTTCCAAAGCTCCCGCATGGCTGATGACATTCGATTACGAAGTGAAGCATCCTAAAGTACACATAAATTATGGTTTAAATTCTTAAAAAAACGTCTCTTAGATAAATTACAATATAAAAAAGGCAATTAAAAAGTAATAAACAAAATAATTTCCATTTTAAAATCAGAACATTAACCTTAAAAGAAATAAGAATTAAATTATTATAAATAATAAGAATTGACAGTAATTTTTATAAAAAAAAAATATTGGTCTAACATTTGTTTGAGGGTTAAAACCTCCATATGAGAACAGATAGGCATTATTGCACACCACACGATGTCCACTTCTCGCTAATGGACGTTGCTGTGGATCATGATTTTTCTTCAATATAGTGAACTGAAATGGTTTAAATTTGTATGTTGAAATGCTATTGTTTGACATTTTTTACTGCATTACACCTGTTTAACACATCAAAAACTATTTACTCATTTGACCATTAGATAAATTTTTAAGTAACATATCGAGAGTATATAATGAAGAATATGTACTTTTGTAGTAATAAATACTTTATTCATATTTTAAAGGTCTATAGAAAATAAATTGAATACAAAAACAAATGAAAATATCAAAACAATAAATCCAAAGTCATACTGAGCATAGTATAATCATAATAATAAATGGGCTAGACCGGATCTAGGGAAGGTAAATCAAAGATTCAATTATAATATATCTAAAATATATTATAAACATAAATTACCACACACAGGAATACATTTTAAATGTGTGTAGGTGAAGAATTTTTTGATATTTAATTATTTTCTATTTAAATATTAAGTAAGTCTAAAAAAATGAAATATTGAAATCACAACCCTGTTATTTTTAGACCGGGTCCTGAATGTATTGTGTGTGTTTGAAAATGATTAAATCACCTCTAACCACACTACAGTTAAACAGGATTATTGTTTAAATAAATAAATTTCAAATTGCTGAGGATAGGTACTTATCATGAGACTCTATGTCCTCTGACTTTTGGAAAAACACATTGAAACTAAATAAATAAATGTAAATTTACCTACCTGTTATGGTCGGAATTTGAATTACGTTCAAAGTGTGAATACAAAAAAAAAGAAATCACGGTAAAAATTAAAAACTAAAAAAAAAAAAAACTACCAATATTCACGACTTCTAGTCGTTTCGGTTCTATCTTCTATCAGTATTCAGTGTATCAGTATCACGGTTAAATACGTTCGTATTCGTATCAAATTCTCGTTTTATGAGCTCGCCGTTATCAGGGGTTTGTGATACCTTTAATAAACAGAAATATTATATGAATATATAACTCCGTGATAATAAAAAAAAACAATTGCGACGACTGGCTTAGTAGTGACCTATTCTACTGTTTTGTTTCGACGTCGCGCATCGGGTAGTAGTAAGCAATGTTAGGCGTATTGAGTAATATTACTCTAATCTTGTTAACACGATTTAAAATATATTTAAATCGTTATTGTAAGCGGCAGTCGATAGTTGCCAGTTCATCAACTGATTTGGTTGGTTTGTCGATAGATGCTGTTTGTTTGACGTGAATGAGTTGTGACCCAAATAAATTCAAAAAATCTAGCGAACCATGTAGGTAAATTTTAATAAACGAATTTGTAACTTTCATTGTTACGAAACTTAAATAATGTTTTCTTCTTCTTTCTCTCTGTCATTTAACTAATATATATTTTAATAACTGACTACTTACAGAAGGGAATCGAAAAAAAATTTGGGATTTGGTTAGGTAGGTACACAGGCCCGACAAGATAAGGCGCAGCAGGGGTGGCTGTATCCCTGGGGCCCGGCCAAAACCATCAGGTCTAATTTTTATTTTAATACAAATCTATACTGACTTGGATTAGTTTTCCCTGGAGCCCTTGATTTTTTTACACAGTCCTGGATAGATAATCTTCAAAAGTTTAGCAAATTTGAAATTTATTAAAAAAAAACTATATGCCTATCACTATAGCAACGGTAGTTATAGCCTATCCTGTCACTCTTATACCTACACCTCAATTCTAAAGGATCTGTAACAGAGTAACATCCTAAAAATTACCTCCATGAAAAATCAATAATAATTATGAATACTATTTTTATTTGTGAATATCTATATAAGTACCTAACTACTTAAAACGTATAAGAAAATTCCAATTATATGACAATACATTAAATTTATAAATTCAAAAAATATTTTTCATAGAATAATTAGTTTGAAACTTTTAAAATAACACTTTTCTTAACATTTCTTTATTGTCAATTTAAAAAGAAAAGTACTTATTGAAATTGAGTAAAAATAGAACAATCTGCACTAGTTAAAGTTGCAGGTTAAGTTTTTATTTTTTATTTTTGGAAAACTCATGATCCTGAGTTAGTAAAATCATTCATCAATATAAATTATTTAACCGACTTTTTTCATGAAAATATATTTGATATTTTAAAAACTAGTTTTTTAAATCCAGAATTTAATTACATTTTCCAAATTTTCTATTTCGATTATTTGAATATTTCATTAGTTGGTGCTTAAATCAGTAGCAGTAGCAGATTCAAGGGGAGAGGCACCTTGAACGTTATATTATATTTTTAGTTGTAATAGTATGAGTTAATAATGTTTTAATTTATTATGATTAATTCTATGTAATTATAATTAATGTATATAAAATATTTCACCAACACGCATTAATAATAATAGAATAAAATTATCTTGAGAAAAATGCATATAAAAATATGAGTGTGTTGTGAATTATCTAAGTACTCAATAGAACGGTATTAATTTATGTATTATCTTAATATAAATTACTAAAAATATTTTTGGTATTACCCTGTGATAAATGATAATATATTACTATAAACTTCTTCTTCACGTAAAGCTCTATAGGTAAACAATAATAGTTGACGACAATAAAAACTTTACTATGAAAGTAAAAAAAAAAAAAAAAAATGTTTTTATGTATTCTACTGAGTGCAATTAACAATTTTATTTTATCCCTTCGTCGATTAAAATTATAATGTCGATATATTTTACAATCTATAAGCATATTGCCAATTTAATATAATTAAAATGCTTTAAGCACTTAGCTAAACATTAAAGAAAACTTTAATTTCACTCAGTAATGCATTTTTAAATATTTTATTCAACGTTAATAATGATAAAAAAAAATGTCAAAAAACCATATTTAAAATTATTTAGGGTTATTATGATGGTAAGATATAATAATACTGATATATATTTGTATGATCAGACATTTATATTTCATACATTATATTAAATATTTTTTATTTTACGAACGTTGCTTTTCTTCTTCTTCAATTTCCTTCAATATCTCGTCATTATCAATTTCAATCTGAAAGAAGATAATTAATAAAACATTATTATTGTTGTCATGAATTTATTACGTATTTTGTATATTATATTTAAATCATATATCTCGTACATTAGAGTATTTTAAAAACTTTTCATTTGTTTCTTCTTTTTTGTAAAATTCTAAATAATTTCTTCGTTTATAAATTACCATGTTTAGATACTTCTTATGTTTAACTGCTAATTCCAAAGCTCTATAACAATTATAACAAGTAAATCAATTTAATAAATTTTTCACATTCATGAATACATACATTTGTTATTTTAAACTGTTATTATTAGTATTTTATATTAATTATATTAAATAAAATTGACAAAATAAAGATATACATTATCTACAAATAATACACAATAGAATTAAAAATTAAAATAACATTAATAATTTTAGACGCTGATTAGATAAGTTAATGATGTATTAATTACTCGTAGATTAACATTATGACTAAAATATAGTAAAAGTATTAGTCTATTCAATATTCACTTACATATATGTACATTATAATATATAGACCGTATAGTGGATATGTTTATTTACACTTATAGAATATAGTTAATAATTATTACTAGCACATCGTTTTGAGCGTTGGCTTACATACCTACTCCAGTTATGTATTTGGATATTAAACATAATAGCTTTAAATGTGAATCCGTTTCTGAGTAAAATGGATTCGGCTTCTGTTATTTTTCCAGATAGTAGAGCTAGTGATGACTCCTGAACTGTTCTGTTAGATATCGTCTAAGATAAAGAAAAATAAAGGTATATTAACTGATTGTTTGATAAAAATTGTGTAGATTATGTGTATGTACATAAACAATACATAAGTATGCAAAAACAACAACGCACTAACAAAAGTTTCAAATACCTATCTTAATTTGTTAAGATTTGTTTTTTAAATAAATAAATAAAACATTGTCCTTTGCTTATATGAGCAATATAACTGAGGTAATTACTAACTGTCTTGAGAACTTAAGGGAACTATTACTAGTTATATATTTGCATACCCTATACATTAATATTTATAACAATACATTGTATAATATGTAAAATTGTATAGTGCATATACAGTAATCTATATTTAAAAATGTATTAATGCCTTTATGTGTTGAATAAATGTCGCTCGCTCTATTTGCCCGATAGCAAGAAAACACTCTTCGACAGTATCGAGCTGTTTTGCCAACACAGCAGAACCGGCCAGAAGTGCCCACATCGCTTCATTCTTCACGTCTCGGCATACGATTCGACATTCCATCCATTTACTCGCACCGATGTAATTCTTCATAACTTTCAGATAAGGAGATACTTGGACGAATATTTTTACGCCGTCTGTGTTGATCAAACTCACCATATTGTCTTCGTATGACTCAATGTTTAATTTGTTACCGTAAAAACTGCGTGTTCGAAAAAAAAATACCCCAAACATAAAAAAACAGTTATGCAAAATATCAATCGTAAAACAATAATAACATTGTTTGATACTAAAATTATTTTAGTAATAATTAAATTATTGATTTCTATTAAATAATATTCAAGTATATAGGATATACAAATATTGCAGAGGATAAACACGATGAATGGTGACTGGTGAGACACATTGGATGAAATGTGAATACAAATATACTACAGAGTGTTTAACTATACAGGTAACTTGCATTATCTTGGAAAAAAAATACAAAATTGCATTTTTACTATTTTTCTTGCTATAATTTTTAAGTTTTATTTTTTTTTAAGCTACAATATACTTTATTTTCATATCCTAAACTAAAATATTGTTCTGAAAAATTCAAATTAATAGTTAATAAATAATAACATTATATTATGAATTATAACTTGTTATTATTTTTACTTTAGATGAACATTATCAAGTACTCGAAAAATATTAGTCTATTTCTCAGCTAGACAACTAGTTAACTTAAACTATAGATTAAAATTTGATTTTATGCCTTGATATTCTTAGAAAATTTCTATTTTTGAATGTGAAAGTTAATGTTTTAGTAACAAAAAGTAAAAACTTAAAATTATAACGATAAAAGATACCAAAAAGTTCGATTAATAATAAATGTTGTTTTGTAATTAGGTGCTTAAAATTATGTAAAATATAATTTAAAAAATATACTCTTCTAAATAATGAATGTTATTCTAGTATATTATATTATGATATTAATTAAATATACATACTTCAGTATCATTATTATATGGTATCAAAGTGAGCAATAAAAGCGATTTAATATACCTTAAGTCATTTTTTTCTAGCGACTTCCGGACAAGGATTTGATCATTCAGTAAAAGTAAAGGATCATACCACACTATTAAATTTGTATATTGCAACGCAGCCAGTGATTCTGTTTGACTGTTCCAGCACATGCTATGAAACATTGAACCTTTTGGTGTATGTGGAACACAAAAATATAATATAATATATTAATTTCTGTTTTTGATTTATACTCGTAGCATACGCATCGGTAATTTACCAAGCTTGTAGGATTTAGCACAGTCTTTATGCCCTATATGGACGATAAATATGTTCATATTCGAATCGATTAACGCCAAATAACGTTTATCTTGAAACTTGGTAGTCATTAACTGAACATCAGTAATTGTAAATTCGTGTTTAATTGTAGGTAACGAAATCAACGGCGCTATTTCGAAAACATGTATCACTAAACAAAATAATTAATTAACTTTATTGTGACGTATGAAATGCTAGTGTCTATCTCAGAATGTATTACTAATTACTTTTGTCATTTATTTGATCTCTTACAGCCAATAGATGATCAGATATGGATACGTGATTTCTTTGAACTACGTCACATTGCATATTTGGCCATTTAGGAGACGAAACCAATTTACAGTCATATGTGTAAATATCGACTCGGCTTATTGATAATAAACCAAAATACCTAAAATTTAATAAGATCAAAAATTAAAATGATCAGTAAATTGATCAACTGTTTTCGAACAAATGATATATTTTAATAAATGAAAAAAATGTACAGCATGTACATGATTGATTTTAAAATTTTAAAAACACATAAGTATTTAAATGATACAATTTAAAATCACATGATATCTATTAGTAAAATATCATACTTATAAGTTATAACGGGACATATTATTGGAACACTACAATAAACATTTTATTGACGACAAGTAAAAATATTTTAGACAATGGCGACATCAAAGTAATAGCATATGATTTATGATGATAGACATAATAGACACCTGAGGGCTGAGGTCAAATATCAAAAAATAAAGTGTCACATAGGCGTAAATGGGTAGTATTTTAGAGGTGGGATTTCAGGTAAATATTTATTTTATCCAAAAGTCACGAATTTTAAGCAATCAACATCATTTTGGAGGAGTTAGAAATCGAAATTTATCATAGTATCACAGTCTACGGTAACGAACTCAACGAAATAACGTGGAAATTTCTCTCACCTTGCCATCATCTTTCGGAACATTCTCTAACCACATAAGTTCAAAAGTTCAGCTCCTCGTCGTATACACTTTTTATTTACGGTGATAGGTATGGGCAATCTACATTCCACATAGTTGTACGAGTTTTGTTTAGAATCATGGGAAATATCTACAACCCCTTACCCCTCCTTCATATGTGTGCCACTGAAAAGATCATTTTTAGGTTTTAAAGATAATGGTTATATATTATTTTTAATAGGTTCACATGATTATAATTTAAAAATAATTATATTAATTTGTATCATTTTATTAATATTTTATAACATGTAAGCATTTTCAAGATTATTGAGTAAGTAAATAGGTAGTAGGTATCTTAGTACCTAGTACCTAGAATATAGAACTAAATATTATATTTTACGAAAAATCATTATTTTTATGATTATTATCCTTAATACTGATAATACGCATCAACATTTTCAAAAAATATAAATATTATAATAGTTTACAATAAAAAAAGGCTATTTTTATTTGAAAAGTAATTTTTATTGTTATTGAGTACTTCTCTCTTCTCTGAACACTCCGTTTGAAAATATAAAATTGTCTTAAGATATCTGCTATGGTAAATGAGAAATTCTTAAACCAGAATTTGAATGAATACCTTTAGTAAGGATCAAAAATTTAAGTAAAGAAGTGACCACTGACCATACTTAAAGTGAATCAGCTGATAAATACCTACTTAAGAAAATAATTGTAACTTGTCTTCGCTCGTAATATTGCGTATACTAAAACTAAGTATATAATAATAATAATAATTAATAAATATAATTTATTGTAATTTGTATTTACTTTTCAGTCAAAATTATCATAAACACGTTTGTGTCTTTTAAATTGATAATCTGCGGAGTGTTAAGATTGGGCATTTGATAAACAAAACACTGCGTGCAAGTGGTGATTAATAAATGGCTGTATTCCATAGCTACATGAACGATACGTTCAGGGAAATCAAGTTTTTCTTTGGTTTCGTTTAATATGTCCTTAACGGCCATTGTTTTCCGCGACGTGATCAAACAATGAAAATTCCGTCTCGAAATACTTCTGCCACATTAATATAAACAAGTACGTTTTAATTAACTGAGAACATCAAAATTCTAATCAATATAATATCCCTATATCCTACCTTTCAACCAATGTAGAAACCATTAGTCTTCCATTAGCGCACACAGCAGCTACTTGAGTACTATCCGGTGACCAACAAAGCGTACAAATACTTCCACAATCAACATAATCTGTTGATAGGACTACCTGACAGATGAAATAACTAATTGATTATCTATGTAAATCATATGCTATATAGGTACATCTAGAGCTATCTGAAAGGCTGATCAGTGACTCAATTTCTAAAGGGGACCCGATTTTGTTTTGTTGTTTTGGTCAATTTTGCTGAAATCAGGTAATTTTAAAAATCATCAATTGAATTTATGGACAGAAATGATTTTTAAAATTGCCAAATTTGAGATTAAGAGTTTTGAATATTGTAATATACAAATATTTATTATTTTAAATATTTGAAGCTGAATAAATTTAATTTGAGTTCTCATATTATAGATACTTTAAAAACCACTTAAATATAGTATAATATATAAATATTATTTACTATCCAAATTCTTTCAAACTTAACAATATCCAATAAAATAAATTATTTCATAAAATACGACTGAAAACATTTTTTGTAATATAATTTAGAACTATGATAGAATAAGGTAAAAAAAGAGTTACCGAAAAAATTAAAAATTAAAATATAAAATAATTAATATTAAAAATTAAAAAGATGTCATAAAAAATCAGTTAATCCATCAAAATATTTAGAATATGATTATAGCTAATGTTACCCAAAAATCGACGTATAGGTACCCTGTATACGTGTTAACTTATTATAACTTATTATTTATTAATCCATTGTTTATATTATAGCCCCATATTTTTTAAGATTTTAATTATTAAAATCTATGACTACAACTTTGAACTATTTTATCAAATATTGTATTACTATTTAAATATTTATTATAACTTATTTTTTATTATTATTCATTACACCATTCATTATTCAACTTATTGCATTAGTTTTTGCGTAAGCGTTGATGTTTTTGTGAATTTTAAGCTTTTTTAGTTATTTATTTATTTTTTGGCATTTGGCCAAAAATGTTTCACGTTCTCAATCGTTCAATATCAAAATTCCTGAACAAAAATGTATTTGTATATTTGCAAGGATAAAATACATATAATGATGTACGTCCGTTAAATGCATATAACTTAAAGTAATTTATTGCAAAAATTATTTGCCTAATAATTAAAAATAAACTTATAAGTATTTTTTTACTCCTTATTGAACCTTTCATCGTTTCACAATACTTTTATTTAAAACAATTAGTTTTGTTATAGCAATAAAAGTTGCTGAATTAACAGTTTTAAAATTACTTGATAGATAAACTTTTTAAAATAATAACTATTTGGCATACTCCGCTCAAAAGTTATTTATTGTAAATAATGATTATAGGTAGTAGTATTTCAAATTAAAATATTTAATTATTTATGATTTTAATAAAATCCAAAACAATGATTTATTATATGAGTATTGGGTCTGATTTCTGAAATTGTATAATGATTATGTTATACATAATTATTACGCAAGTAAATATTATGCTTAAAACAATAAAGTTAATTATATATTTATTTTTGAAAAATTACTCACTCCGTATTGATTACAAATTAAAATTGTATTGAAAAAGCTAACAACTAACAAATTTCCATCAGACTTCCAACAATGAGATGTTACTGGATGTGTGAGTTTTTCGCTCACAAATACAGAATTTCCATATGAATCCCAAATCTATAAAATGATACATATTATAAATAATAATATATAAAGGCTACTAATTAGTTTAAGAATATGTTTAATAGAATATTGGTTAACATTTCAACGATATTTCAAATTTTCAAATAGAATCGAAAGTTGAAACATAAATATATAATAATTGAAGAAAATGAGGACATTCATATTGAAGTTTTTTTGAAATTTGGTTAACTAAAAATAATGCTATAAACTACTAAATAATATTAATTATTTTGTTGTATATGTATATTATTATGCTATTAACATTTATAACTTATACTTAAGTATTTATTTTATTAGCTACATACCTTATAGTAACAATCTTCGCCTCCTGATACAATTAAATCGTTAGCTCTACACCATGATACTTTGAGTATAAGATCACTATGGCCTCGAATCTAAGTAGGTACATACTATTTATTATTAAGGAAGTACATAATATTTAACATTAAACATATGAAAAGGACCCGTAAATAGTTGTTATAGCTTATAAGTATAGACATAGCCTCATAAACCGACTTAAAAATGTAGCTAGGTATACTTTAAGACCAATGAGGTTACCCAATATGGCAATAAGTGAATAATTATAAAAAAACTCTTCCTACTTTCGAAGTTTTCAACTAACCAACAATTAACTTTTAATTTCATACATATTCTGATATCCCATAGACCATAATTCACCATCCCAATATTGAGAACGTATATATAAAAGTAAAACAAGTATAAAAATGCACCACTTTCCAGTACAAACATTATTTTGTTTAAAAATTGTAAAAATAATATCGATACTAATATAGTAGTAAACTAGTAAACCTTATATAAAAAACCTTATACCCAATATAAATCCTTTTTTATGTCAGACCTTTAATAATCAAATTTCAAGTTCACCCATTTAAATGTAAAAAACTTATAAACGTACTCTAATTGTTTTTATATTCGCTTTTAATGATTTAATACAAAGCGTATCATGTTGAGTATATACAATTTTGGATGAATCGAAATTCCAGTCGGCCGATAATATTGGCTCAGCATTTACGACCAATTTTGTTCTCAACATGCCGATACGAGACCATATCTTTATAGATCCATCCTCGCCAGCTGTAAGTTACAAAAGTAATAATAATGATAATAATATATAATACAACCAGTGACGGCGCTAGAGTTTGCGGGGCCCTGGGAAAAATAAATCACTATCTATACTTCAGAATCTTTGAACCAATACCGGCAGGGTCTAAATTAAAATTTTCAAACTTAAGGCTCCGGGCAACTGCTCCTATTGCATTGTTTTATTTTCAATGCCCCCCCCCCTCTCACCGTCACTAAGTACAACTATACATTAAGTAATTAATTATTAATTATTAAATAATGATGTTATGCAAAAAGCAATCATCTCACAAATGTTTTATTTGGAGATAATTCAAGTTTTACAAAAATAGTTTTTTAAAAAAATTCAATACATCAAATTTTGATATATCTAGTATATACTTATCATATTGAATACTATGATATTCGCACTCTTTGTGCACGAAGTCACCATTCCTCTTGATGCACGTAATGAGACAAGGAATTAATTTCTATTGTAGTTACACAAATTTTTTTGCAGATAAACCTACTTAAACATTTTCAATATAAGCTTAAGCTATTTACTACCGAAGGGAAAAATAGTTCTTGGAAGCACAAAAATCTTTGAAAAAACAACCCGTCGTTCCCTTGTTAGCGTTGATATTTTCGACAGTGTGAGTGCATCATTAAGTGCACTTTAAGATCATCCATCTTAATATCAACCCCTTCTCTGAATACCAATTTTTGTAAGTTACAACTTGACTTCTTTTAGCAAATCAGTGTGTTTTTTTCAATTCACTTATTTTTATTTTTGAGTAGTAAGTACGCACTTATTGTGTCACCTAATGACTTAATCATGCTACAATATAATATATACGTATAGTCTATAGGCAGTTGTAAGACAGGTAAGAGCGACAAAACTTATGTAATATATATTACGTTTATCACATTTTATTTGTATGTATTACATATAATTTATTGTACGATGTATTTAATCAAATTTTCGAATACCTAACCTCGAGATTATTAGGGTTATAACTGTCAATATTTTCTGGCATTTAAAATAGTGCAAGAAATCATACAAGTTTTAATATCATTTAGGTACATAGGTAAATCTTAATTGTCTTATTTTTACATTACCTGTCCTATCATAGTATAATTAAACATTTTACACCGTTATTGTATGCAATCATGTTGTATTTAAAAGGGATTTTTAATAATTCAACAAATATACTCGTATACACAATCGTGTTCTTAATGTTTCTATAAATGTAATTCATACACAATCTAGTTCTATCTGTCGTAATAATTTTGATTTGCTTCAACTATATTGATATTAATGTTTATAATTTTTAACTATCTGTAGATGATTGGTTTACCTGCAGGAGTTCACCAAACTTAAAAAAGTAGACTTCTTTAATCCATACATCATAATGTTTAACTTTAAATTATTATACTAGCCTGTTAATAAAGTAGAACCATCAGGACTCCATTTTCCGACCGTTACGTTACCTTCATGGGCGTCTACGGTTTTATCAATTTTAGTGGGTTTGCTCATTAAATGTAACTTACCTAGTTATAACAAAAAAAAAAAAAAATAAAATAATAAATATATTTATTACTAATTGAAATGCTACATCATTTTTTATTTTATAAATATACCATTAGATGAAGTTATAAGAATTTGTTCAATCCCTGCTGTTTTGTTTGTGAGCCTCTGAGTACTAGATAATATATGTAAATCTATAGGATACGACGACTCATCAGAAAAATCGCACAATTTAATACTTTCTTTTGTGGTTTGGCTCCATTTTGATAACGTTGAATCATTTCTAAGTTGTATAAACGAAAGTATTTAAATTATAAAAGTAATGAAAAATAATATAAGTAAACCTAACTAATGAATTTAATACTACCAGCTGGAGATATTCATTATCCACCTATATATTATTATCAACACTTTTATTTTATACACATATAATATATATATGAATGTGTTACAATTTCTAATTAATGTTAAAATCTATTCATATAGGTAACTATTATAACTTAAGTTAATAATCATTAGGTTCAGGTAACGAAATATATCAAAAATTTCTTTTTTTTAAATATTTGTATCAATATTACATTAATTATCTATTTATGTGGCTATGTATTATTATTATATACAATTTTTCATAAGGATAATATAATTAAATAGTTTAAAAGTTATAATTTAACAATAAAATAACAATTTATTTTAAAGATTTAACGTTAAAAGTTATAAAAAATACATGCATTTTTAAAAATCCAATTTTATTTACATAATATGTACCTAGACAATAATTTTTTATTTCATAAATTTTAAGTTAAGTTAAATAACGTTAGTTAACTCACGGTTCTGTTATACCTTTTGGCTATTTATGATATGTAATATGTATGTTCTATAGATATATTGCCATATTAGTGTAAATAATGGAGAGTTTATTGGACATACCTTTAATTGTACCAAGCCCTCATTGAGTAAAAATAATAGATAAATATTATTTTCTCTAATTTAAAAATTATTTAAATTTTATTTTTTGGCGAATATGTGGTAAAATAATATGACGTCATACGAAATAAATAAATATGGCCTAATCTTGTAACATTTTACCGTTTAAATCTATACCTATATATGTTTATCAGCTACCCTATTTGCTTAATGGATATTAAATGTAAATGATATTATTGATGAAGGTATCGCCAATATTTTTTAAGCTATTGTATCTATGGTAACGTCTATAGACCATAAAGCTAAAGAATCATTTTTCATTTTTCCGAAAATAATGTTATAATTATGAATTTATGAGACTAAAATTATACAGACTATAAGTGGGGAATCATTACTAGCTTACATAAAATGCACTGTTGTGTGGAATATCTGAATACATAATATGTGCATCACTCTATATTAAACCTATTTGATATATTTTGTTTAACATAGGTAGTTAAAATCTTTCTCAAACCTTCCAATTATAATTTCATCGTTTCCAGTCCAACCAATGCAAACAACAGATTGATCCTCAGAAACTTTTAAGATTGTTGATTTGAAACGCATTTTTAATTCAATAATTAAAAACAAATAACTCGTAACAAAAGTTTATATTTATTAACTCAAAATATAGTATTGTATCTTATATTTTATGTACACAAATTATTATGTTTACAACACGAACCACAAATATAAATTATACAACACTAACAACACAACTGTTCAAAACTAATCTGAAAGTATTTCATCACACCTCATACCACAAGCAAAAATAAAAATATTCTCTCAAAAGTAGTTACATACAATTATAGGTATTGATGACTAATAATTTGTTTGTACACACATTTCCATAGCAACAATAGCCATAGGTATAACACTTAATAAACTACCAAGCGCCAATTATTTAAATTTTATATCAAATATTTTAGGTTATAGCTGTGTAATCACAATGTTAACTGAAATGTATAAAATACAATTATTATAAAAGAAATTTACTTTTTTATTTTATTGTAAAAAACTTAACAAGTTCAACAACTTAATGAACACAATTATCTGTACCACCTTAATCAAAATATTCAAACACAAACAGTGTAATATTATTCAGACATGTTGAATAATTCCTAGGAGAAAAGACACCTGCTGAAAATAATTAAGATGGATGGAAATTAGTAAATTAATTTCAAACTTAAACCTCCTTTTTAAAAGTTTTTAGTTATTAATTATACATGAAATTATTTATCGTTTATATCAAAATTAAATTATTAAAGAACTTATAGATTTATTAGCCGATAAATTAAGTATTTTCAGTTAGCATAAACACACTGCAAATTACTTACAGTATTGTTATTTTGTTTTTTATACAAAAAATTAAAGGTCTTTTTTGAAGGCCACACTACAAATTTGAATCAAAAAGAATTCTGCAAGAAAATCAAATTTCCATATAACAGAATTTTAAATATACAAATGTGTACATTGTGCAGTACAAATGATGACACTAATTACATATAAATTTTTTTAAACTACTAAGTAGACATTTTACTTAGATTGTACACAGGTTAATTAGACATTTAATATCATTTAATTTAAATTAATAATAAACAATATATATGATACTATTTGAAAAATTTGCAATTTATTCAAAAATATTATAACTTAATAATTACATTACATAGTACTTATGCAGTAGATTTTTCATCTTCATTCTTTTTTTCTTCTTTATTTTTGTTTGGATCATCTGGTTTCATTGCTGGGAAAAATAATACTTCCTATAAAATTTAAAAATGTGGGATTAATAATTAAAAAACTACTAATACTTAAACAATTAAAATGATTTAATATTATTTTATAAAATGTTCTTGATATATCAAAATACTTACATTTTTAACTGGAAATCAATTGTACTAATGTATATTACATCTTTTAAATTAAGTTATAAATGCTGAGTATAAAATATTTTGAGTATAAATAAATATGAAAACTGTTATTAGTTTATTTTCTTATACATAAAGAAAGCTTAAAAATATAATGTAATAAAAATAGAACAAGATTATAAAATAAGCAATAAAAAACCTAAATAATAATGTAGATCAATTAAAAATTAGCTTTACATGAAAAATTATATTATCAGTTTGTAAATAATATACAAACATGATAAGTTGCTCATTGTTCAATATGAAGAAAATTTATAATATTATAAAATATAATTTTACAAATAAGTTTGTAATCATAAATCATTTTTTTTTTTAAGGTATATTGATTATTAACTACTTGGTTTTGAAAAATATGTGTGGTCATTTAGCCAATAATATGACTAATACAAGGTTCATTACTTAAAACAATTTTTTTAATTAAAAAAAGTTAACTAAACACAAACAAGTTACTTACTTTAATGTTATTAGAATCTGTTAAAAACATGGTTAAGCGGTCAATACCAAGACCCCAACCAGCTGTAGGGGGTAAGCCATATTCTAAAGAAGTACAGAAATTTTCATCTATCAATTGAGCTTCATCATCACCAGCTGCTTTATCCTAAATACAAAACAAAAATATTACAGTAATAACAATTAGTAACTAATATGTTAAATAAATTATATTATAAAGTTCAAGATAATCAAATTATGGATGCTGTAATTTAATTTAATTTGTTAGTAATAATAATAAAATAAATTATTTTTGTAAAAATTAAAAATCAATTAATTTTATATTTAGTCACAAAATTTACTTTTGCTTGTTGCTCAAAACGCTCTCTTTGAATCATGGGATCATTCAACTCTGTATAAGCATTGCATACTTCTTTTTTCATAACAAATAATTCAAATCGTTCTGTTAAACCAGGTATGGAACGGTGCCATTTCGCTAAAGGTGACATTACTTGTGGATGGTCACAAATAAAGGTTGGGTTTATACATTTTTCTTCAAGAAATTCTCCCACAAGCTAGAAAACATAGAACATTAGGTTTTCTTCAAACATTACATATTTTTATTTATTATAAATTTTGATGTGTACTTTATCTAATAGCCTGGCTGAAGTTCTAGGTGGCGGGCATTCAATTTCATGTTTTAAACAAAGATCATCAAGCAATTTATTTGCTTCAACTGTAGCTAATTCAGTAGGACTAGGAAGCTTAACTGACAAAACTTCTTCCAAAGCTGGGAACATGTACATCCTTTTAAAAGGCGGAGTAAAATCTATTTCAAATGGTTCAGTGTTGGCATCCACACCATCAGGATGATATTTTATTTTATATGTGCCATAAATACTTTTTACAAGACCTAAAAAGATATTTTAATTATATACTTAATAACTTTAAAACTATATCAAAAAGTACCAGATAAAAGATCTTCTGTAATTTGCATAAGATCATTGTAATCTGCATATGCCATATAAAATTCACAAGTAGTGAATTCTGGATTGTGTGTTAAGTCAATCGCTTCATTACGAAATTGTCTGCCAATTTCATACACACGATCAATACCACCAACAACAAGCATCTATTATTTAAATTAAGTATAATTAATAAAATAAATATAATATAAATAACATGTATAATTATAATTACTTTATGATAAAGTTCTGGAGCCACTCTCATAAACAAATCCATATTTAAGTCATTATGATGTGTGATAAATGGTTTTGCAGTTGCCCCACCAGCAATCATATTCATCATTGGAGTTTCAATTTCAAGGAATCCTAAATTGTCTAAGAACCGACGAACATAAGAAATCACTTTTGCTCTTATAATGAATTTGTTACGCACATTTTCATTAATGATTAAATCTAAATATCGTTGTCTATATCTAGTCTCCTTATCTTTTAAACCATAGTGCATGTGAGGCAACATGTGCAAACATGGGGTCAACAATTTTATGTTTTTAGGAAAAATTGACAATTCCCCTTTTTTTGTTTTGCCTGGACTGCCTGTAACACCAATTATATCACCACGCCGAATTTTTGATGTGTCTGCAAAGAAACTTTCTTCAGTAGTATACTGTTTAGCATTCGCCATCACTTGAATTTTAACACCTTCCCCACGTAGATCATAAAATATTAATTTAGGACCAGATTCACGAATAGCATGAACTCGACCTGAAATTACATTATTTATTTTTTTAATTATTATATTAGTACATTGCTTTGACTTCCTAAAATCAAAATGTTAATAATCTTGTTGTACTATAATATTACATACTTATTATATTTCAATATGTATCTAATTGTTTTAATTTGTAATAAATAAAATACAAATATAAATTATTCATGTGCATAATACTGTTTAAATAATAAAAAAATTATAGTACAAGATCATTTTGTAAATAATTTTGACTATGGTTAAATATTGACAGATTTTAAACAAAATTCTGAAATGATTGCACAGATATAATTTTTATGTTTGTACTTTGAAATACAAATAAAAAATAATTTAAATGTTGTACAAAACATACCTGCAACACTATATTTTTCATCATGTAAAATTTGAGTTTCAGCCAAAGAACTGAACTTTTCAATGAATTCTTCTAAAGATATAGTTACATTGAATTTATGTGGATACGGTTCCTCACCATCTTTTTTCATTTGAGCAATAGTTTGTAGACGTAAACTAAAGAATTCCTATAATTTAATTTTTTTAATTAATAAACCACATATTAAGAATTATCTTATGCTTATTTTACATTAGGACTAATGTCTGCAGATTTAGTAGCAGCCGACAAATCACTTTCTTTCTTCACTACTGGTGATTTTTTCTGAACAGCCGATTCCTTTTCCAATTTCTCCTTAGCTTTTTGTTCAGCTTTTAACCTTCGCTTGAGCTCACTACAGAAATACAATTTACAGTTTACATAGATTAGATATTAATAAATAATTTAGCTGGATACAGAGTGAACGTGAATATTGTTTTTCAAAGTTAAATTAAATAACATATCATTATTAAATTACATTTATTTATCAACCAATTAATAATAATTTATAAGACAATAGGTACCTACATTTTATTCAATAATATTAAAATAATAGTTTGATTGAATAACAATTGATTCTAATGTCCAACAATAATACTTAATACAAAATTAGACGATGATAATTTGAATATACAGCATAACATTATTAATTAAATGTGTTTAACTAAAAATAAAATAGGTATTAAATTTTAGTTAAAAAAAATAAAAAAATAATAATTAGAATTCTTTAAGAGTTATTTGGTAAAAAACCATGTACTAATGTCTAATCAACAAGAATTGTTTTATTGAAAATATAATTAAATGTTAATTAATTAGCTAAATACTAAGAAATATTTATATTTCATACTGGTTCGGTATTTATTTAAAATATCAAAATTATCTGTAACATTCACTCCGATACCAGTTGCTGAATGAAATATTACTATACCTCTGAGCCCGACAAGATGTATATATAAATCTTGTTTGGTATATATATTTGTTTGCCAATCGACTCATAAATACACTCATTTTGTCAAATTATCAATTTATAGTCTTAATTTATTCAACACCAATTTCATTTCTATCTATTCAATTAATATAGTTTATAAGGGATAATAAAAAAGGTAAATATTAAAAAATTATTTTTTCTAATACGTTTCTACGTCACATATCTTTTTCCGTCCTATGGAAACGTTCTTAAATAGTAATTACAATAATGTAAACTTCATACATACTTTTTAGATAATGGAGCCTCGGAACCTTCCATTTTAACTAATTAAAGAATTTAAGTATTGTATTGTTATGAATTATAATTATTAAAATAAATATTTAAACTCCAATAAGTCCAATGGACCAAAGAAATTCAATTTTAAAGCAAACAAGCAAACTGTGAAATGAGGTTATGTGGTAAATTCAAGTAAACCAAAAACATCAAATTATCGATAGTCTTAAAAAATATTATTTAAAAATAAAAATATTTCAAATTAAAAAAAAAAAAATCGTAGACCCCGAAAGAGTTAAAAATAATTTTAACTCAAACGTCAAGATTTAATGCGCTTAACCAAATAAAGTGATGAACAAACATGATGATTAAACGAGTACACAATATTTTTTAATTTATGTTTCGAAAATCGATAGCAGATAGTATACCCAAATAAATCGATCGATTTTTATATAAAATAATGATAACAGTGACAACATTCACCACGGTTTATATATACGTATATCTTAAATCGTACTTATCACATTCCTGTAATCATGAAGACTGTACACATAAATAGATAGCATGGCTATTAATATCTTTAGTTCGTGGACTCTATTCACCGGTCATGAATATAAGAGAATGTAAATAAATGAACGTTTCTCTTACGTTCATTGTTCATGTCTATAGTGTCTTTAGTTCTTTACTCTTTAGTATTCATGACAATGATACTAATGTGATATCATCAGACATCAGTGGTGTATGGAATGTAGATGCACTATACACTCTAAAGAATAGGTTTAGTTGTTTGGATGAAAATGATGAAATCGATTTTATCTAACCTGTACATAAACCTTCATCTAATAAGTTATAATAACTGTTATAAAGCATTAAAGTAAATGCTTAGAAAATATAAATTATAATATCTAGATATGTCTACTAAGTCGATGGTGTTAATGGTATATCTTGTATTATAGGATACAGGTACATAAAATATTTTTCATAAATATTAAATAATGCATAATACAAATTACAATTTATTGTGTGATGAACACGATGTTATTAATACGTTACTTATCGTATTAAGTATATATTTATTAACATAAACATTGGCGTGTTCAGAATTTGGTAGCCGAGGAGACCTATTTTTTTTTGTTTTTAGACATGAAGAAACATTTTTTTTATGTTACAAAACTCATAATGATAAGAATATTTAATAGGTATATGGACTAGAGCTGGGATTTTGATGCAAAAACCTCTTTTTTCTGGTGTTTCGAAACGTTAGTCTGTAAATACAAAATATATTTTTGATGATATTGATTTTAACAAAATTAACGTTAAATGCATTTTTTGACAATTTTAGTGCATTTTCTTAGTTTTTAGAGCATTTTTCACAATTTATTCATAAAATGAAAGAAAATTGTTGTGATTAACAAGAGACTTTTGGCAAACTGTCGATGGTTCAAATAATAAATTATATAGCACAAGTTATCGTTCATAACAATTTTTTTTTTTTTAAATCATTATTTTTTAATGAATGATTAAGAAAACAGAAGTTCAACAAAACTAAACAAGTAACAACAAACAATAGGTACTATTAAAAAATATATTAATTATACTACTGAACTACTGTAACTGTAATATAATTTTAAATCTTTTTTCCAATTTTTAAGTTATAGGTAATAAATATAATTTAAATGCATTTTTGTAGTGCGTTTTTGAGTTTTTTAAGTCAGTTTTACGTTTTTTAAAAACATTTTTTTTAGATTTTTTAGGAAAATTAAATCCCAACTCTAATTATGAACAAAAAATATAACAATTTTTAATACAATAAAAATACATTTAAAACTAAATTAAAAAGAGATACATAATTATAAGTAAATTGTTAATAAATTAAAGTATTTATAAATCCATTCTTCCATATGTTTTAATACTTAAATGATTTAACATTATCAAAGTTCATATTTCTTGCCAATTCTTGCTCGATGCTGATAGTTAATAAACCATCTCTATTGATTCATACTGCTCCTCAGTTTGGTTTTTATAAAACTTAGTTTGGAAAAAGTCCTTTCATGCGAACAGCTAATAGGTATAACTGGTATAGTTACAAATATTTTAAGGTTTTGAATACATTCGAAAATAAATCCTCCCTACCATAAACCGTGAGTCATTTTATCCATTCGCCACAGTTTTTTACCATTTGGATTACTTTTTTTAATTAAATGCATTTCAGCTTCCAGCTTATTCTGCTTTAAATCAAAGGTTTTGCATAAATTCACTATATCATCATGATTAATTTTCAGTTCTACTAAGCGACCGATATTATTTATTATAGTTAATGTTTTCTTGATCAAATCTGACCTCTATAACATTAATCATTTTATCTAGGCAAAAGTAAATATACCCTAGCACAGTACCATGTTTAATGTTTTGTAGTTATGAATAATTTAATAATTAATAAGCATATTATATAAATATAATCATTAATTAATAAATGCCCAACTCAAATAACAATTAAATGTTCTATTATTACGTATTTATTTGTGAGCAGCAATAAAACAAGATTGAAAAATTACAAAATATAAAACAAATAATCAACATTTACAGGTAGGTACAGCAAGGGTACACACCTCACGATTTTATTTTTATCCGGACATAATTTTGTTAATGGCACAGTCTGTCGGGGGGGGGGGGGCTGTGCCTATCCAGCCCCTCTAGTAAACACTCCTATGGACATAAAAACCTAGGAATATAAATTAATACTTTATAAATCACAAATTACGTTATAAAATACACCTAATACATAATGTATACATTTTATCTTGACTGTATCTTAATTCATGGTTATAATTTACTTACTTATAAGTTATAACTTATCTCATGCTACATTACTCTATGCCCTATCTAATCTGTATATTATTATAACACTGAATATTTATACTAATTACTATATTTATATAGTATACTAAAGGTAGTGTATTAAATTGGGTAAACAATAAATTGTACTATACTGAAATAAAAATCGAAAAACTCACCGATATATTAATGACTAAAGAAGTATTTAACACACTTTCTTTAAAGCAAAAAAATTTAAATTAGGGAAACAATTTAAAATTATTAACTATTATAATACCTTTTTATTTGCTATTTAGTTCTAGTATTTTTAAACCTCATTACCTAATAATAATGGCATAAGTGAAACCTGATCTCTAAAACGTGGGGTGTTAAAACTGTTAATGCCTATTGTCTCACAGAGTCATGGTATTTCACTAAAACAATAATATTTAAGTATAAAAATAAAGGGTGCTAAATTTTAACTAGGGGTGCTAATACCCTTTTTTACTTCAACCTCCTAGTTGTGCCATTGAATAACGGTTAGTAGAACAATATCTAATCAATAGAGCGCTAATCAATTAAAACTTATAGGGATCTATTCTAGGTATACTACCTATTCGATCTATAATTTACAAAATCAGTCTCTCGTATTTATGATTATTATTAATCGAAAAAGAAATCATGAAGACAATTGATTTGGAATCGGTAATTGATGACTTTACAGTGATAAATGATTAAATCGAGAAAAATTGAGTTTTAAATAGATAATCAGTATTTGTGCCGTTTGTTGGTACTTATATTACATAAATAAAAATGAATTATTATTAAACTTTTGAAGGATTTGTTTCATATAAATTTTTATTCTTGTATGGCATTTTTCTATCTAATACTAAAGGTTAAGTAATTGTGGCACTTTTAATAATATACAGATAATCTGAATTTGATATTTTTATAGAAAAGAGTTGACTTTGAAATAGTAAAACCAAAGCTTGAATAATTTATTTTCAGAAAAATTATAAGTAAAAAAAAATTACTGAAAATGGGACATAAGTATATTTTGGTTATCTTTCCTCACACATTTTTTTCTCTTATTTTTATTTGCCAATTCGGTAATAGGTAATGTTTTTAGACGTTAATTGTTTTGTTTTTGTCACACCGTGTGAATATGTGATTGATTGCCAGTAGATAATGACAATGAGCTCAGTTTTTTTTTTATATGTAAAAGAAGAACGTGCAGTGTAAGCAGTTAAGTGTATAATAGTGTAAGCTATGTTGCCGCCCCGGGGCAAATTAAAATATGCCGCCCTTACAAATATTACTATTCAAAATTATATTCAACACAATATTAATACTAACAATTTACTTGTAACAAAAAACGTACAGAAATAATGAAAATAGTTTATACGTACAATTATTAGAACAAGTTCTTAATTCTTATCGCCTTGTGACATGTAGCGGTAGACGACGGCTTTTTCGTGGTATTTATAAACGAAATAATATATACTTATTATAGTTATACAGTCACATAAAAAAAAATTATAATTATAAATTTTTTATTTTATGTTGATCCTCCAAAATTTGCCGCCCTGGGGTAATTGCCCTTCCTTGCCCCCCGTTAAACGCGGCTCTGAGTGTAAGTTCAGGAAGTGAAGTTCAATATTACATGCATAGAGTTGGTTCGTAATTATTGATATAAAATAGTAAGAATGGGTGATTAAAATTTTAAGGGCCTGTGTTTTTGTACGGCGTGCACGTCATGTGTAAGTAGGGTCTGCTTATGTATTTCTAAAATATCACCTCTGCTGTGGAACTGTGGAAGGTAGTTAATTTATTATATACTAGATATCAAATTATATCAATAGCCAATAGAGTAATTTTGATACAAAATTATCGTTCGGGACACAAAAACCCGCCAGTAAAACTAAAATAAGTCGCTTACCATATACTGCCGTAATATTAGAAATTCATATTAGCAATTTTACGGGATGCAACTGATGCAAGTATTATGATTTATGAGGCTAATTACCAAGTAATTGTAAATATTCAACTATACTTCACCGCGGGTCAGGTGGTTTATTGTGGTTATTGCAGCAATATTATAACGGTTAAAATAATTAAATCGTTTTCTCATAGAAATATTATTTATTTTAATGGATAACAAAAAAAAAATCCTGAACTTGAACTTGAACCACACAGTTACACGGAATACTGAATACAGTCAATACGGTGTTAACTAATATTATAATAGTATTTGGTGACGTACGTCAGAGGATAGGCTGTCACTAATAATGTAATAATTAATTTTATTATTAGTGCCTAAGTCTTAAAGTAGATATATAGTATTATATAGTAATATAAGT